AAGAGCAGCAAGCTCACTAGGCCAGCGTAGATCCCAGTGTTCTGCCATTTTCATTTGCAGACCAACTGGGAACACGAACCTGCTATTCCCCACCTGCATTCAAGCCCTGGTTAGTCTGATGAGATACTTGTCCAGGCCCCTCCCTTGGAGAAGGCACCCTCAGATCACCTCCTGTGGCAGGGCACACTCCCCTTTCTTGTGCATCTCCATTCAGCTCTACCTCCTCCTTCCTGTCTCACACAGGTCTTTGTGCATGGGGATGAGCTGGATTCCTTCTTCCAGGAGATTGATGCTGACATCCTGCCAGCAGACTTTGGTGGCAACTTGCCCAAATACAATGGCCGAGTGGCTGCCGATAAACTCTTTGGGACCGGGATCGAGGCTGAAGACACAGCTCTTTAGAGCTGTGCCCATCCCCTGCTCCCTGTAAAATAGGATCAGAGGCAGCCTTTTAACCTAGGCAGCCCTTTTACTGTAGCGGTATGATTCCTTGTGATGATACACTCTGGGCGCATTCCTCTATGCCAGCTAGACTCCAGCCACACCGCTGAGAGGCTAGGAACCCTATACAACAGGCCTCAGGAAGAGGGCCCTTTCTCCAGATGACTGTCAAGGAAAGCTGCCTCTTCCATGGGACATCTGGGAATGGTGAGGAGAGGACAAGACAGGGGCTAGACTGGGAGGAGGAAGCCAGACCCATTGGAGGAAGCAATTGGAGCAACCACTACGCCCCACCTCGCACCTAAGCACTGGGCCAGGGCTGCTGTCCTGCTTGCCACCTTCTTGGGTAATGCAGTAGTGAACCAGACAGTGTCCATCACCACAGAAGCCCCTATGAAAGGCTGCTTGAAACACGTACACAGAGAAATAAAGCTTTTGACAGAAAGGTGTCAGGTCCCTTTGTATTGGATGTATGAGTGTTGCAGGTAAAGTGGTCAACAGTTTGCACATGGACAGGAATAGCCCCGATGTGCTGGTGTTTCCAAGAGGAGGCAAACAGCAGCCCACTTCCCAGGCACCACAAGAGCTGTCTTGAAGGGACAAGGGCTGGGCAAAGACTTGGTCCCAGGAAAGTCAGCACCACCCGTGCTCCCTGCTGAGAAGGCCTGTAAGGCCAAGGACACAGCAGGTGCTAGAAGTGAAGTACACAGAGCCAGGCTCCTTCACAGGTGCCTCAGAGGCCCAGATTCCTCATGCTAACTGGAAACGATTGGCTCAGGCTGGCAAGATGTGAAGAGGGATGTTTCACCCATCACCCATAAAGCCCCATCCTCAGCACCCCTACTCCATCAGGCACAAGGATAGCTGGGCCTCTGCGGTGTCAGCTGACCCTGGAGTGGCACCAGCCTCCAAGATGCTTCAAACCCCCTGGCAGACTGCAGGCATTTCCCTCTTCCAAGTACCACACTGCAAGTGAGGAGTAAGGATCTCTGCAGTTCAGGTAGTGTCTAAACATGGCTGGATAAAGAGAAGCTGAAGAGGACAGGAAAGATGCAGCTCTCCCTTCCCCCCGCACTTCCTTATAGCCTTATGAAAGAAAGGAAGGAGGCAGCTACAGTATTCAGATGGGGGTAGCAGTCTGTCCTCGACCCCCGTCTAGGGTGGAAAGCCAAAGGGAATGGGCTGGCTCCTATACTTGCTTTATGAAACAGTGGGGCTAAGATCTTATCAAAGTAAAACAAGCTAGTTCCAGTTCAGCAGAGCAACAACAGCCCTAGTCATGGGCTTTTTGTGCTTCAGCAGCTGCCAGGCAGCCGGCACCAGAGCAGCAGGGAGAGACTCCTGGACTGGAGGGAAGCTGGTCTCCTTCCTCTGCCCCATGGTCACCCTCCTTCTAAAGCAAGGCTGTCTCTATAGCACAAACCTTTCGTCCCTCCCTTCCCCAGCTATGCACCAGGACTTAAATTTGCAAAGCAAAATAGCAGGGGCCCATCTCAGATGGAGGGTGCTGACAAGAGGTGCATTCATCAGGGCACTGGCTCAGACTCAAACCAAACAGGATGTCTGCTCAGAAGCTGCAGGGAGGATGGGGCCTGTCTGAAGCAGGACTGGGGCTCATTCAGCTTGCCCCAGCATGTGCAAACCCCAGATCTGCCATAGGATCATCCGCACAGAAGAGTCAGAGGGAGGATGACAGACCAGTGGTGAAGGGGCTTCGCTGTATGGCCTAGGAGGCAGTTTGCATGCTGGGCTGAGCCACCTCTCATGTTTGCCAGGGACCCAATAAAAAGCCACTTACCTGTGCAGCCTGCAGTGACCCATCTCCTTATGGAGACAGCAACTGCAGCAGTTATGCCCACCTGCCCTACAGCCAGCAAACTGAGGCAGGTTATGAGCCAGTCGGTGCTGATCAAACAGCAGAACAGAACAGCTGCAAGGTGGGGACTCCAGCTTAGGATAGCTCTAGCTTTACCTCTCCAGGGTCTTCATCATCCACACACACAGATCTGAGTTTTTGAACATGACATATCCATCAGCACTTAGTTTGGATGCTGCCACCACTTCGAGGCCTCTCATGACAGTAAGAAAACCAAGCCCAATCACATCCATTCTGAGTTCAATATTCGCCTGTCTCTGCCCAGCTAAGGCTTATACAAGGCAGCACTCCAGAACAGGGAGGGGAAAACCCATGGCCTAGAGCAGAAAGACCTGGGAACGGGAGCTATACTGACCATGGTATCCACCTGTGAGACCCTGCACACACCAGGACAGGACAAGAGTGCTACAGGCACTGCGCCTGCTAGGCCAGGCAGGTCCAGTCTCACAGTACAAAGAGCACAGTTCATTTTAGTTGAACAAACTGAGAGGGCGGGCTCCAATGGCACTCACCCAGCACCGCTGCACCCAGCTGCTGAATTGATCCTTTCCAATTTCTCTGCATCATGCTCCTGGCAGGGCAGCAGGTCACCTCTCCAGAGTCTCCTGGTCTCCAAGCAAGGGAACACACAGGAAGAAGTTTAATGCCAATAAATGAAGGGGGCCTTGGATGGTTTTTGGCTCCGTTTTGTTATGCATTGGCTCAGCCAACAGGTGCTTAACTCTTTGGACACCCTCCTATTCCAACAATTCAGGTTGCAGCAGCCACAAAAACAGATTTTGACTCACCCTTGAGGAGTTAACACTCAACACTGCTTTCTCTCCCAAGCCCTTAGTGAACAGCATTAGGGAATGCAAGTGGCAAATCTCCCACCTGTCAGACAGGGTGGTTTAACAGCCAGCAGCCCAGCCATCTGGGCAGTGGAGGGAAGCGGGTCAGCCTGCCAACACTTATGTTACCTGATGGCATAAGAGTTCACAGCTGCACAGGGCCTTGGGAGTCACCACAGCTGGCCCTTGCTGTTCAGGCCTGCAACAGCAGCCAGCTTCTTCCCCACCCCCCCAAAGAAAGCTCCCAGCTCAATGCCAAGTAGGGGAAAGGAGCAGGCAGGACACAGAATGAGGGAGCTAGAGATGCACTGCACACACAGCTGAGGAAAAAAAAAAAAAAAAAAAAAAAAAGAAATTCTGTGTGGACAAAGGAACCTGTGATCCAACACCCCATGCCTCCCAACCTCTTGGTGGTGGCTCTGCCATGACCTTACGATGACGAGCTTCCTGGCAGACTGAGCACCAACATAGCCCTCAAGGAAAACTAGGGGATTAGCTCAGGAGTCTGTCAAGAGCTGCTTCTTTGCCAGTGGATGTTGGATTTTCAGGCTTGTGGGAGCTCTATGTAGTTGGCCTTCCTGGAGAGCCAGGCCCTGCAACTCTCATTACAAGCCCAGCTTTCCAAAAAGGCTCTAAGATGACAGCTGTGTTCCCCAACCCACTGCAGCATCCCAGCAACTCTTACTGGGTGGTCAGGGTGTACCGTAGTGTGTGTAAGGCCCTACACCTGAAGAGACAAGAATAAGGAAGAACAATATGAAAAAGGGAAAAAAGTGAAAAGTAAAAAGAAGGTAACTGGGAAACTCCCATTTGCCTTCTCAGTACAGGGAGAGGGGAACATGTGATGGATTGGAGGTTGTGCTTTGGAAGTATTTTATGTTACCTTGGGGAACTCCTTGCCACAGGGCAAATATTTTTAAGGGTAATTGGAATACAGTTACAGTGGATGGAACAAACCCTCTTGGGTCAGGGTATAAGCCAGCAGTCACGATATTGAATTGAAGCAAACCTGCAATCCATCTAATGTATAACTCCCATAGGGCAGGGTGGTACTTCAAGGCATGGAACAGCATGGACCTCAGTCTGCGACCAATAGTTTTGTCAAGATAGTTAGTTCACACATATGACAATGAACTCAGGCGATTAGTCAAGGACGCACTGCAGAGTAGGAGTTTTGAAGTGATGGGAGCCCAAGAAGGGTGGCTGGGCCTTAAGGAAATGATCCTTCGGGCACAAAGCAAGACGATCCCCGAGCGAGGCAAAAGGGGGAAAGGGGCCAGGAGGCTTCCCTGGCTGACCAGAGAAATCCAGGGCAGCCTAAGGGACAAAAGGGGAGCACATAAAAAGTGGAAACAGGGAGAGATCACCGAAGATGAATATACCGCCTCTGCTCATGCTTGTAGGGAGGCAGTTAGATGGGCCAAAGCTGCCATGGAGCTGAGGATGGCAACCCAAGTAAAAGACAACAAGAAATTGTTTTTTAGATATATTGGGAGTAAAAGGAAGGCCCAGGGAGGAATAGGACCCCTGCTAAATGGGCAGAAACAGTTGGTGACAGACAGAGGGGACAAGGCTGAACTCCTCAATGAGTTCTTTGCCTCAGTGTTCCTAAGTGAGGGGCACGACAAGTCTCTCACGGGGGTTGTAGAGAGGCAGCAGCAAGGCACCAGACTGCCATGCGTAGACCCTGAGGTGGTGCAGAGTCACTTGGAAGAACTGGATGCCTTTAAGTCGGCAGGCCCGGATGAGCTCCATC